TGTGCTATTTAGTTTAATATTTGAGGGCAATCAGTGCTATACATAGTGCAGGGTACCCTAGAGAAAAAGTGGGATTATCTGGGAAGAGAGGGAATGGAGTGTATGTGTGGTAAGGGCAGACTTCCCCCTTGAAGCAGCTTAAAGCTACTTAAAGGCCACTTGTCTCCACAGACTGCAATGTCCAAAAGTCAGTGTGGAGTACAATGAGGAATTTCATAAATGTATGGGAATGTGTGGTAGATGCAGTGCTCTATGTGAATAGGTTGTGGCAAATCAAGAGTCTAAGAATAGCCAGTAACAATAAAGATGCAGTATTACACATAGCAATTTACCAGTTTTTTAAAAAAACATTTTGAGTAATGTTCAGTTTCTATTTGCTTTCAGCCCTGGCATCCCTGATAAGGTAATTGTGAGGAGGAAAATTGCCTAAAACTAGCATAGTAAAAACCCCCAAAGCAAGACATTGTAGTGTATTAAACTTTCTCAAATATAGTATGAGAGCAGTGGTGTAAGTGAAGAACGTGACTCAAGAAGTTTTCAGAATGTCTGTTGGTTAAATTGAGAATGTGGTTCTTTGAAGATTAATAGCTGTAGAACAGATTCCCCCTTCTTGCCCTGCTCTCCCCTTTTTTTTTCCTTTTCATTGCTTGCCACCCTCATCTTACCACATTTGCCTTTGGGATAACAGATTTTATTAATTCTCTTTGAGTTGAACAGGTACCTTTGATGTAGCTGATTAAAGTTGATTTAAACAAAGTACTTGTGTAATTTAATGGATGGCCACAAAGTGAACCAGTAGCTAATGGTTTTCTTTTAGGACCAATTACTAGAAAAAAGCAACCCATTGCCTCCTTTTTTATCTGCAAAACTAGTAAAACTTTAAAACTTCCAGCCAGTTTGCAGAGGTGTAGTGAACTTGCTTCAGGCATCTAAGTGGGAGGTTTAGCTTGTGCTTGTGAGGAGAAAATAGACTTCCCTCATCTAAGGTTTGTTTTAAAGAGCCACTTCTCTGCATTAACAGATGGAGCAGATGGAGTCTGAATGTTCCTCAGCTGGGAATATAAGCAAACTCTTAAAGTAGTTTGTGCTTGAAATAATTTGCTAGCTGTGTTGTAGTATTTGAAATTATCAGAGAGGATCTTTAAAAGGCTTGAATATTTTACGTCTACATTGAAAAAAATTGAGAAAGTTGCCACAGAATAGAGAAGTCTAACAAACTTAAAAACTAGAAACTAAAATAGAGGTTAAAAAATTAATTTTTTTAAATATTTGAATGTCTACTCTTTCTGCTTCTAAGTTGAAAAAAGTGAAGACATTTTGAAAAAGTAAATAAAAAACCCCCAACCCATCTGTTGTATAGTTATAGAACAATTAATCAAGATATTTGTTGATATTTCAGAAGTTTTTGAACAAAATCTTGTAATGAGAAATTGAAATTTCCATTTGCTATAGCTCCCCTTATTTGTCTGTGTTTGGACTCATCTCCTCTTCCTCTGCCAAGGCTGGTGACCACTTGGCTGATTCAGACCAGCTGAGATTCAGGAAGATCTAAGACATTGCACCCAGGGCTCACATAAAGAGGAGAGGGTTAATAGCCATGACATGGTTATATAAAACCTTTTGCAATGCTGTGAATGTTATATAGTGCACAGTTGTGTTACTACCCAATTAGAGGAGTTTTTCCATACAGAATCTCAGTCCTGAAAATGTAGGATTTTTAAGTGCCTTGGTAGCAGTTCAGAGATTCTTAACTTCAAATTCTGCAGTAGTGAATGTGCTGCTGTGTTGCTCCTCCTGCCCCAAATTTCTGAAGATGCTATCTCATATCAAAAGAGACTAGTCAGTTAAAATTGACATTATTTCATAAGTTCACTCTTTTAGGAAGAGTCATCTCTACCTGCTAAGTCTTAGTATTGCAGAAGGCCCCATGGTCCAGCAAATGAGAGTTGGACACAGGCTTTCTGCATGAGCAGGTGTGCAAAACTCTTTAGAAAATGTTGCAAGAGAAAAGTGAGGATGTGCCATAGCAGGTAAGCGCAGTGGAATGAACAGTGTGTTATTTCTTCTTTCTAATGTGTTAATTTAGGAGAATGATGCTAAACAGACAGGAAAAAGTCAGTTAGGTTGTTTTTCCCTCTCCTACTCCTCTTTGGATTTGGAGTGGCATGTTATAGAAGAGACTGGTGCTGTACAGAGCTGCTTGGTTTAGAATCAGCTAAAAGCGAACAAGCATGAGGAGTGCTGTGTGTTCCTTTTCAATAAAGACTTGCTGTCCCCAGAGTGGTGGAGCAGCTGATATAAAGAATTTGGTTAGTACTGGTTCAGTTAATTTATACTGTTCTGGTATTGTAGCATACAATATAATAATGTGAGCTGTATTATGTTTTCTTTCAATGCATCTACTTGCAAAAAATAAAAAGGGTATGCATTGCCATCTGATTATTCTTTGATTTTCCTACTGAAATATTTCTGATGCCATTTTTTAAAGATTAGATGTTAAATAAGTATGATGTGCTTTGCCTTTTATAAGTGCTCTCATGGGATTTAATTTATAATTTTCAATTTCTCAACTGATACATTTTGGATGTTAATAGATTTCATCTGCATTTTGAACTCTTTCCATGCATTTCCAGTGAAGTAGGTGTTGAATTGTATTTTTAAAAGAAATTTTAGAAAAATCTGACTTTATTCCAGAGTTTAAATGCATTTAAACTTGCCAAAGTGACTGATTTGAGATTTCTAGTTTTGTGGTTGTATTGTCCCTGACCTAACTTGCACCTACTGTAGAACATGTACAGGCTTGTTGATCCTGTAGTGTAGCAATAGCTCTGAGCTGCCAACACCCTGTGTGTTGTTTTTATCATTTATGTGATTGTGGGGAACAATGATGTTAAACTTCATTGAGGTTAGCATCAGGGTAAATACCAGTGTTTGATTATTACAGGTACTAGGTAACTAAATCTAGACAAAATGGAATTAAACCTGAAATGGCACAATCCCTCAAATGTTGTGAGAAGCTGCATTCTTTTATTTTTGTCTTCCCAAAATCTGCTCCTGAATGAAAAGTTATTATTTTCCTTAAAAAATATTTTCTTTGTTCTTGTGGGGTTTTTTTACCCGCTGTTGGGCAGAACAAAAACAAAAAAGCAGCAGATCAAGTTTCTGTATGCTTGTCCAGTTCATGGCCCAGATCTAACCTGGGGGAAGATCCTGTGTAGGTCCCAAATAATATTAATTGCTTCTAATATGTGCAGGCCTTAGGGTTGACCATGGTGTCCATTGAGCAGGATGCAGAAGTGCCCAAACCCCACTTGTTTTTCAGCTTCAAAACACAGGACAGTCTTGCTGCCCAGTGCTTGACAGAAAGTGTGTTGATGGTGTTGATGGTTTTTCCTATGTCTTCCTTGATTGCTGTTGGAGGAAAAGATCTGCCTTGCCCATTCTCCAAAATGTCCGTATTTTACAGCCCTTGGTTCACAACTGGGGCAGCCACAGCATCCAACTGCTTATTAATAATGGATTTGAGTGACTGTTTAAGCACCCTCCTGGATGTTAGGAAGGGATAATCTTCCTGTAACCTTCAGATGTGCCTACTATTGTAAAGTAAACGCTTCTGTTTTACAGCAAAAATGGTTTCATGATGCTGTTCTCAATCACAAATCACAGTAAACAAGGCACCTAGCTCAGCTGATGAACAGAATTCCATTGGTAATGATGTTTAATATTTGTATGTCAAACTTTATAAATGTGGCATGTCCCACTGGAACACACACAAGATTTAAACTAGATCTAAGACTCAGAAGCATTGTAGCACCTCACACTGTGATGCTTGGCCAATGCCAAAGTTTATTTCCAGCTCTGTTGTACTGCCTGGGAATGTGTATCTTCCAAACTTCACCCTGAAGCTGCAATTTGAAACCCTCACTCCATTTTATATAAAAGTAACTATTTAAAAGATGTATGCATAAAAATCTTTTCTGTCAGAAGGGACAGGGGCTTTTCTCCGTCCCTTTGACGCTGGTAAAAATGAAGTGTCTGCTGTAATTCTGCACCTCCTGCCAGCTGAGGAAAAGCTGAGTCGTAGGGAGGGGATTCTGGGCGGCGTGGTTCGCTCTGTGTCCGCAGATACGAACAGGGGTAGCGCTGGCAACATTGCTGGGAGATGGGGAGGGTAAGAGGGCCACAGAAACACAGGGTCACAGACTATCGTGAATTGGAAAGGACCCACTAGGATCATGGAGTCCGACTCCTGTCCCCGCACAGGACACGGAAGAATGACACCATGGGCCTGAAGAGCGTTGTCCAAACGCTTCTTGAGCTCGGTCGGACTCGGTGCAGTGCCCAGTGAAGGCTGCCTGAGGCCAGACACGTCTCATTGCATTTTGCTGCGTTTGGGGCTGTTTCGGGCCGCGCGGTGCGCGGGCGGCCGCAGCCCCGCCCCGCTCTCGGCGAGCGGCAGCGCTGCCTGCCTCCCGCGGCCGGCGCTCGACGCGCGCTGCCTGGCGCCGCCCGGGCCGCTGCCGCCATGGCCACGGAGGACGAGATCATCCGCATCGCCAAGAAGATGGACAAGATGGTGCAGAAGAAGAACGCGGTGAGCGCCGGGACGGGACGGGGCGGGAGGCGGATCGGCGGCGGCGCCGCGGGCCCCGGCGCGGCCCTGGCCGGCGCCGCGCTCCCTCCTTCCCGCGGGCGCGGGGCCTGTCCCTTCCCGCCGCCGCGCTCCCCGCGCTGCCCGGCGGCCTCGGCGCTTCCCGCGCCGCCCCGCGGGGCCGCGGCGCCTCCCCCGGCCCCGCCAGAGGAGGGGGCACGGCAGCCGGTCCTGCTCCGCCGCGGGGCGGCCCCGCCGCCCTCGCCGCAGCGCCTTGGGCCGAGAGGAGGTTCCCGCCCGGGCACTGGCCCGGGCTGGGAGCGGCTGCGCGCTCGCTTCCTGCCCGCTGGAACCGCGGGGCTGGCTTGGCGGGGAAGGGAAACCTGTCACCCTCTGGAACCCTGCGGAGATGGCCCCCTGTGCATGGGGTGTTGTCGCTTTTAGCGTGAGAGCTGGAGTTTTGGGATGGGATGTAAAAACTCAGATGTGAGTGAAGAGCCCAAACCCACCTGCGGCAGGGCCAGAGTTGAGTGGGTAAACTTCACAAAGAATAATGTAAGCCTTTTTTCTTCTTTTTTTTTTTCTTGGTTTTTTTTTCTTTTAAACCTGCAACACTTCTAATTGTGTTTATTAATCTGGAGAATAACTCGTGCCTCAGAACGGATGAAGAATGTAGTTAGGCAGGATTCAATTGGCTTAGCTCAAGTGTTATTGTCATGTATGCCCTGCATAAAGAACTGAGGTAGCATATGGTGGTTATACGGTGCCTGCAAACACATCAAAGTAAGTAAAATCAGAGTGTAGAGCAATAGCCAGATAACTGATCCTGGTTATACATAAAATAGCATGCAAGTAAGTAGCCAACTTTGTTTACTATTTCTTCAACAGGTGGTTACATTGTTATTCTCTGGAAATTTGTGCTTGTATATGTGATTGTTGTTCTTCCTGCAAGAAACTATTATATACATAACATTAAAAGGTTTTTTTCCTAAATGTAATGATAGTGCATTAAAAGCTTAGTAACAGTAATAGTTCTGAACTCAACACTGTGCACTTTATAGAAGTAATTTTGTTGTTGCTTAATGCTGGAGAGTATAAAGAGCATTATTAATAATATTTGCATATTTATGGAAATACTTAAACCAAGGAGATTTGTTTAGTTCAGAATACAAACAAATTCATTGTAAGTACACACAAGCCATGCTTCAATCTGGGATGTTCCATAGTATGGCATGGTTTAACTCTGATATATTTGAACTCTCAAAGGATACATTGTGGCAGCAAGACCCTTGTCTAGAAGAAAGAATGTTTTATAACTGGCATTTATTAATTCCATTATTTTTCCCTCTTTATTTTTATTTCTGTTCCCCATGCATTTAAGCACAAAAGCATTTGCTGTCTCTCTTTGTTTAAAACTGAAGTAGTGGCTCTTTCCTACAAGCTGTTGAAAGGGTGAAGACTTACTGCCTGAAATGCTTTAATATCAAGGTCATGGGGCTGATAAAGGGCAGCCAGCTCCATTTTATTTGTAAAACTTCTGATAACAGAAAGAAAATAACCTCTCACAGGTAGCATGAAAGTGACTGTTGTTTCTGGGGAGCAGCCATACTAGGGATGCTGCAGGTGACCACAGGGTATTTCTTTGTGATCTGAGATGCTTAGGAGTTTGGATGAAATTCCTAACAGCAGCTGGGAACATGTATTTACTCTCTAGCACGTGTGTAACATGATTGACTCTCAGAGCTCTGGGGAGCGCTGCGGTGACTCCTCGGGGTCAGCGTAGGTGTGACGTGGCTGAGCACAGCTGGCACAGCTGGGCCGGGCTGTGCCTGGCTGGAGCCAGAGCTGGAGCTTGGCTTTCACCTCTGTCCAGCAGTGAGAGCCAGGAGTGAGAGGGAGGGAGCACCAAAGGCTTCGGGCTTTAGTACTGTGTCGAAAGCGAGCTCCTTCAGTCAGGCTCCTTGCTGCACACGAGTGGCTCCTTTGTTGGGCTGATGTTTTCTCAATGAGCTGCGCTGTGGCCAGGAGTGGGGATCTGACAGTTTGTCCAAAGCACGTGTGTGTGTGGCATGATAAAAACCCTTAGTGGCATCAAAGGAGAGGATGTGCTTTAGTATTCAAACCAGGAGATGTCTCTCTAAGTCTTTGTCATTTACAAGGTATTTCTTTATTACACAAAGTGATTTCCTATCTAATTCTGCCCTGTAGTTAAAATGCTAACTTTAGCAAAATTATTAAGGTCGCCTCTATGAAGAGGTACTTTATTCTCTCACAGAGATGAAGGAGAATTGATAAATGCATTCTTACACAAGTACCCACTGAATAATGATACTCTTGACAGCCCCTTGTGTTCCTTTCTCCATTTTTACTCATCAAGAACAGGTATTTGGTCTGTGTCTTTGAATGAGAATTATTTGATGAGACACATTAATAATAAAAGAAAGAAAAAAAAGCTTTGATACTTGCTCTCTCTGAAGCTGTCAAGAGTCAGATGACAAGAAATGTTTAATCTCTCATACAGAAGATGACTGGCTTGTGGCAAAGCACTCTGTGACATGTCTTTTGATGAGTTAAAAGGGCAGGCCATGCAGACACTCTTTCTGAGTCAGACTCTTGGTGATTTGCCTTGACTAAGGACTTAATTGTAGCTGTGCACATTTCATAACTATTTTAGTGAAATGATATATTTCACTAAAAATATATCGAAATATATCAATATATTTCACAAAAATATATCATAATGCACAGTGCATTAAATACTAAATCATTATTTTCTCCTTCTTTTGTTTTGAAGGAGGAAATAATGATTTAGCATTTAATGCCCTGTGCCATATGCGTTTCTGCCATTGTTTCAAATTGAAATAGATACCACTCCTCCTTCAGAACTGTGATTGGATTAAAACCTGTAGTTCCTTCCTTTGAGCTTCTGTTGTATGTAAGTACACCTTTCTTTCATTAAGCTGCTTAATGAATGGCTATTAAAACTAAGGCTGCACCCATGGATAAAAAAAAAACAAGAATGCTTGAGTAAATTTAGAGAAGAAAATAAAATTGTCTGTGTTATTAAATGTATACTCCTTTAAGTAGAACAAATTGGATAGTTCTGCTGTCTTCAAAAATGTGATTCATTTTCTGTTGCCTGAAGCAGCTTTTAAAACATGACTATAGAATAGCATTCTGTGCTGTTGTGGTCTGACCAACTGAAAGAAGCTGAGAGGAGTAATCTACTGAGTCTGTAATGTAATCTACTGAGTCTGTATGAAGCAGACTTCTGTTAATTGACAAAGTAAATTAGAAGCCAGCTAGCTTAGGAGAATGGGACATAGCCTTTCATTTTCTATAAAATTATAGAAATGCCTTTAAAAGAGGGTTTATAACAATGGTCTTAATGATTGGGAGGTTTTTTGAACACAGAGGTCTTACATTAGGAGAAAAGTAATTACAAGTTATGCTGTGCAACTTCCACTCTAGTTTTGAGATACAGAGAGCATTTTACTTTATGCTAAGAAAAGTGATTATGCAAAGCTATTTAGTTTAAAACCAATTTAAATTAAATTTTAAAGCATCTAATTAATGGTGCACAGTATAATTGGTTAGAGAAGTGAAGGCTTAGAAAGGATTAGTGCATTATCAATTTTGGTAATTTGGTACAGAAACCGGCATAAAATATAGATAAAATCTGTTAAACTGCTGGTTTTTGGTTGGATTTGGCTTTTTGGGTTTTTGTTTGTGGGGGTTTTGGTGGGGTTTTTTTGTTCTTGTTTGTTTGTGGGATTTTTGTTTGTTTGTTTGCTTGGTTTTTTGTTTGTTTTCTGTTTTTGTTTTTTTAAATTTGCTGCACGTCAACCTGCTATGTATCATGTTGCTAGTATTGGAAAACATTTACTCTGGGAATAATAAATTTGTTTTCACACGTGCAGTTAGGAAGGGCTATAACAGGCAAAGGAATTTTGACTAGGCTGTATTTCTAAGATGAAGAGAATGCTACTTTGCATTACAGTGATACTTTCATATTGAATTTGCAGACTATAATCAGCTGTGTTAATTTTAAAATTACATGCTGTGTACAGTGTGCTAATAACTTAATTAGTTTGGAGGTAAGTTTTATTGCATTATATTTATTGAAATGGCATATTGACTTCTGTCATGAGTTTTGTTTTGGCTAAGAAAATGTTCTTGAATTTGATTTTGTTTTATAGCAGTGAAGATAATTAATTTGCTTTATTTGGATCTGTGTTTGCACAGAAGAAACCACGCTTATGGCTGTTGAGAGAAAGATATGGTTTAGTATGCCAACTCAATTTAGCACCTGAAAACATTGTGACATTTCTCAGTCTTGCATCATTGCTGCTAAAATTCTGTGGTTAAGACTGGAGAAGTTTTGTATAACATGAATAAAAGTTAAATGGAACTTTTACTATCATAGGAAAATACTAAAACTTTAGCTTTATATGTTAATTGAATTTATGTGAGGTGGGATTTGGTGAAATGTTTGGGTTTGGAGGTTTCTTTGGTCAGAAGTGTTTGAAAAACAGAGATTGTAGCCAACATTTGAAGGTGTCCAAAGCTGAGGGTTTTTAAATGTGACACCAAAGTTCCACTTCCATCTTTCTCAACCTCCTGGTGGCTGTTTATCTTTAGTGGTTAAAGTGTAAGACTGCAGTTGCAGCAGAATATTTTAAGTTTCCTTGCAACAGGTGTTACCATAGAAGTTGATTAGGGAGAATTTGAAAAGCAATCAAAATGCCAAATAAAATAGGATGAGTTAAGAGGTAAGGAAAGAAGAGTGAATTAAATTCCACAGATTTGCAAATGGAAATTTTGTGGGATTTCTTTCCAAACCTTATGAATTAAAAGAAAAAAAAAAAAAGGTAATGAACTGAGCCTGAGTGAACTGAAGGGCCTCTTGGATGCACAGGCAGTTGTTGCCTCCCTTCTGCTCATAGCTTCCAGGTTCAGCACCACATGCACTTGAATAACAGCCAAATCAACTCAGCCTTTGGGAGGTTTGTGTGGGCTGACAGCCCATGTGCACAGTCAGAAGTGGATGGTGCAGAGCTTTGCTGAAGTAGAGTTGGTAAATCATCAAGGTTGGAGAGGTTAAAGAGAATTACAGAGCTCACATTTATGCAAACTTTTTTAAAGTAAGGCCTATATTGCTAAAGAATGAATTGTTAAAGTAGCTGGGTATAGACTTTGTTAACATCTAGTAGTGCAATGTCTGGACTTGAATCATCTGTCTAGAGAGCTGCTTACACAGAATTAGTTAGTACTTTTCCTAACAGTTTTAGCAGGGGAAAAAGAAAAACCCACAATGTGTGGCTTTACCACATCACCACAAATACAGTTAGGAATGATGTCTGTGTATGTTTTTATATATATGTGCATTAGTGATGGACTGGGCAGAGCTTCTCAACTCCAAGTTCTTGTCCTAAAACTGATGTGCTTGTTCTGAACTGAAAATTGCTGCTGTTGTCTGGATTGTTTCTGATGCTGTTAAGCAAAGCACCCTTGAAGATGTGTATTGGTTAAGTAGTAATTGACAGAATGCTTTGATTGTCATTTGAGTTACATGGGGTAAAACTCCCCTAGTCTTGAGTGAATACTTTGATTTCCAGGTTAAGGCCTGTTCCTGCTTAGAGTTTGTGAAGTGGACCATTCCTTATTCTAGTTCTGTGGATAAATTCAGAACTCTTGGTTTGAACCCAGTGTGTGACCCTGAAGGCAGACAAGATTATATTATTGATATTTTATTTGGAGTTCCTGATTACTACTAAGTTGACTTTTTTATTTTCTTTCTTTTTTTTAGGCTGGAGCTCTTGATTTGTTGAAGGAGCTTAAGAATATTCCCATGACCCTTGAGTTACTACAGGTATGATTTTCTTATTGTTGTTGTGTTGCAAATGTTAATTCCCTAATGAAGAAAGTGGAGCCAGAAGATTTGAAAGGAGGTTACACTATTGAGATGGATTCCTAAGTTCAAAGTCCTTGGGAGCATTGGTTTTGTTACATGGTAATCTAGCCTCCCTTCACCTGATGTAGCACACTTATCTTAAGTATTTTCTTCCAACAGCAAACTCTTAAAGCTTATCTTTCTGATTAAGTTGAGAGTTGTAAATTTTGTCGTGGACAAGGGAAAAGAGCTGCTTACAAATTTATCAGACATGGAATTTTACCAGACATTTTCACTCTTAACACAAATCAGTGTGTTTCCTTCCTCTTGAAGGAGAATGCACCTGATTATATCTGATACCATCTTTTCTTTTGTAGTTAGTTCTGGTTTTGCCTTGTAAGTGAGGAGAAACATAGTTGATACATTTTAGGCAAGTTGTATTTGACACACACTCCGTGTTCCCCCTCCCTCATTCTGAGTAATGTATTTCTTAAGGTAATTATACTCCTCTTTTACTCTCCTGTGCTGGAGTGATGGAGGGGTACAATCTCTCCCACTTGCATGGATACTCTCACTAATGTTGCTTAGACTGACATATTTAACAATATTTTATATATTATTTGTAAATTCTTTCAAAAAATCAACTTGGTCAACTGTGCTTACATGTCAAGTTTCAGAGCTTTTAATGTAATTCATCAGTGAGCAACTTTTGTTCCAAACTAGCCTGACGTTCCCTATCTGTGAAAATTTTAAATTTCAGTTAAATCTGAGACCTGATTTGCTGCAGTAGCCACTTAAATTGGAGGAGACTGAAAAGGGTCATGAGCGTGCCAGTGTCAGGAAGGGTGATGATCATGAGATAGTGGAGGCCCTGTCTTCCTCTGTGCTGATCAAGACTTCTGACAATTGTGTTTGAATTGATGAAATGAAGAATAAAAGTGAAAAGTGTACTTCTATACCCATTTTTAAGAAGCTTTGAAAGCTGGCTACATTGAGAAAAGCTCTGCTAGCTCTGTTATTCCTGTGTAATAAGAGAGGTTATGATTTTTTGTGTAATACCACTGCTACCTCAGCCTGAAATAATTAGGTCCTCTGATGAGTTTCACGGGTATGTGCAATAGGAAGGTGCATATTAGTAGTCTGGACTTGTAGTGGTGTCTTTTGTCTTTCTTGCCACATTTATTTTCACAGAAAGCTGAAGTGATTACAGGCAATAATACCACTGTGTCACATCTGATGAGTTTTATGTAAGCAAGCTGATCCTTGCTCAGCTAGGCAGGGAGCCAGTAGGCTTCCTCACATAGTTTATCCAGTGGTCTGACTTGCAAATCTGTTTAGCAGCTTCAGAGCATTAAAGGCATTGTGTCCCTGGTGCTAATTGTGGTTAGTGCAGAGCTAAATAGTGAGTGAGTGACACAGTCAGGCTTTATTTTCACAAACAGGTTTTACAGGAAGTTACTCACACCTGTGCAGAACTAGGCTGTGATGTGCAGCCCTTGTTAATGGCTTTAGAGCAGTTCACTGGCAAGAAACCCAGGGGTGGTTATTCTTCATTGGTTGGTTTGGCTCTGCTTTGGTCTGTGCTCAGCAGTTCTCTGTCCTCATACACTTACAGTTCAAAGCTGGAAGCAGGTCTGCTTCCTTTGGTGGTTGCTCTCCCTCCCCAGCTGTGTTCCTTACATTTTTGCATTTGTTCTGGTTTAGAGAGCACCTGCTGCCCCCATGTGCTCTGCTTTGTGTTCAGTCATAGGTTACTTGTGCTCACTACTGGTTGCACCTACTGCGGGCTGCTGGCCAAAGCTTGAGTGCTTCAGGGTGAAAACAGCTGTCTTATGCTGTCTTTGACTGTCTTTACTCTGAAAGCAGATGAAAAGTGCTCTAGAATTTAAAGTGGGGAAGAATGAAAATACTGGAGTTTTGCACTTAACAGTGGCAACAGACAGGACGACTAAGGAAATTTCAAATACTGTCAGCTGGTTTTGGTTTGTCACTAAAACATAGTAATTTTGAGAATATAACACTGATCTTTTGTGACTATCTGTGCCAGTTAGAAGGCAGATAAATTAGTAGATCATTACTTCCTCTCTTCAGGTAGACACAATCTAGTGCTCTATAAAAGCAAACAGATGAGTTGTTTTTATGTGCTGCTTTAAGAAAGCTGGCAGTTCAGAAAGGTCCCATAAACTGTCCCTCTTGTGTGATCAGAAGAAGAAATTTTTCTCGTTAGCTCTGGGTTTTACTTGAGTTTTTGGATTTTACTTAGCTAAGTAAGTGTGTAAGTTTGTGTGTTTTCCCTTTGCTGATGAGCATGGGCTGTCGTTGTGCCCAGCTATTAATGGAGGGTTGGGTTTTTTAGTAGATACATTTTTCTCATCCAGATGTGGTGTTTTATGGATTTTCAAGGACATGTTTTTTTTTACTGTCTGAACATATTGTTGAGATTTAAGTGTTCAAAATATCAAGAAAATGGGCAGTACCATTAATGTGGGTGAGCAGAGTCCATCTTGGAGCATTTTAGTTACAGGTGAGTAACTCTTTGGTTTTTTTCATTCAAAATGCATTTTTAGAGCTGATGCTTAGGCCTAAGGTTATTTAATGTGTTCCCTCAGCTGACATAGCTATGGATTATTTCAGTATGTTTCCAGTCATTTAGCACATCCATGGTGCCTCAAAAAGTGTTGTTTGTGTTGTAAGAAGTAATTTACAGGAACAAATAATTTCCATTTTTAGTAAGCCACAAAGATTTAAATTTTCCTTTTATGAAGAAAGAAGTTAATGATGATCTACTGCAAAAGTGAGTAGAGTAACTTATATTTAGTGAGTCCTGTAAATGGCAATGCAACAAAACTGAAAATTTTAACAGCAAATAAAAAAAAAAATTAGTTATCAGTCAGAATACAAAAAGATAAGAATTTAACAGTATAAATAAGGATTTTATTATCTCCTCTTGTGGAGCTAAAAAGGTGGAAATTTTCTCCTTGTTACATGTGCACATTAGCCATAAATCTTCTAAAATGTTACTGTTGAGCTATATTTATGTCCTTACCTTCTGAGTCTTGAAAGGCGTGAGTTGGAACTTACTCTCATGTTCGCTCTGTAGGTGGCAGTAGTGGCAAAGGCTTAAAGCTTGTCACGGTCTTGGCCTTTTCAGAAATACAGGATAGCTCATTCTTTAAAATCTTAAACACAGAGAGTACTGCTTCTGTCTAAAGTCAGAACTCTCTGTGCTAATGATTCTAAACAATCTCAGTATCACCAAAATTTTTAGGTACCTAAACCATGCTTGCTCCCAGCTGGGTATTACAGCTTTTTACACAGCCACTAAATGGGAATTCTGAGTGTGATGTCAATGAAGAAGTCAGCAAGCTTCTTATAGTGCTGAAATATAACTACAGTCCTTAGCCCTTGTGCCCACAATCACTGCCCACCCCTCCCCAGATTTTTGTGATGAAGACACATGGTAATACCATTGTATTTCTGTTTAAAATGTCCACGTTATTGAAATAATTTTCCTAAAGGCTTGCAGTATTTTGTCCTGAGAATCACAAGAAAAAAGGAAACAAACCCACCACAAAAGAAAAAGAAAAAAGATACTGCAAAAATTAATGTCAAAGTACAAATTTATCTTTATTTATTTGTTAAATTGTTTTCCTGTCACTTGTGGTAATGTATATTCCATTTCTTTTGCAGTCTACCAGAATTGGAATGTCAGTGAATGCAATACGCAAGCAAAGCACAGATGAAGAGGTTACATCTTTAGCAAAATCTCTTATCAAGTCTTGGAAGAAGCTGTTAGGTATGGCAACAGAAACATCCCTGCTCTTGCATGTTTTAACTCTGTGCAGCCTTGGTGCTCATCATTGGCACTGCCTTGCTTTAGACATATTTGTGCTTTTGTGTGAATGTTGAAACTTCCTGTGCTGGTGTAATTGGTTTTTTAGTCTTTGACTGTCCCCAGGCCATTACTGTGAGAGTGTGTGCAGAGAAACAGTTAATGTATTTAATTGGGGCTGGCAGGCAGCAGGAAGTCAGCTTCTCTGATGTGATTAATTTCTGAAGTCTCATTGCCTGCAGTTGAGCTGGAGTGCCTGTACTGAGCACTAACAAACTTCTAACAAACTGTTTTCTTCATCAAATATAACAAGTACTCTGAAGAACTGGTGCAAAATCTCATGTGAGAGTGTGGAGGCTTTGATGTTTGGTTATGAAGAGAAAAAGACATTAAAATGTTAAAATCTCATAGAACTTACAGGTAGTGAGGAACAGAGCTGCACTTTCTAAAACTAAAACCTTAATGATTTTAAACAGCTTACTAATTAGCAACCTAACACTTTTTGTTTAATTTCCCTTAAAGCAATTAATAAGCTTAAAACCTTTCTATTAGGGTTTTATTCAAGGGTATTTGGTAGTACTTAATATATCTGAAAACACTTAAATCTCAGAATATGTCCAGATATTTTTGTTCATACACTATGGTGCACTCTGTTTTGTTTCTTTGTATGTAAGCTTAAGTAAATTAAGATTTTTTAAGCTTAAAATTTTAAAATAGAAAATAATTTATTTAATGATTTAAATATTTACCATTCTGTCTGGAAAAATATGCCAAATACCAGGAGAGTGTAATTCCCCTACCATTTGAACTCAGCTTCATTTTTATCAGTTGTGAAGTGTTTTATCAGATACATTATTACTGTCTTGTAAATGATATAGAAAATACTCTGACTTTCTAGAAATGGACAACTTGTCAGAACCTTAAACTTTGATGCTCTAGTAAGAAAAAACAGTCTCTACAGCAAACTTTTTAAAGTTACCTTAAAGACTTTTAACCCACCTAATAATAATGTTAGTTTTAGTAGTTAAAATTGGATGATACTATACATGCTGATAAAACACCTTAAAATTAATAATGACCTTAATAATAAAAGTAAATGCGTATACAGGATCTTAGTGTAGGATCTGATCAGAGATAACTGGTAAACAGTGAAAGTAATACACTTTTTATTTTTAAAATTAAATCTGGAAGTCCAACTTTATTAATCAGTATATAAAAGTAGTAAGGTATATAAGCGGAGAAATTCACTTGTATATTAGCATCAGTTACTCTAAAGACTTCTAAAAGTAGCTGCTGGATTGAGTGATTTAGCTCTCAATTATTAAAAGTTGTTAGTCTAAGTTTTAAAAACAAAACCCTATCAGTATTTGGTGAAAGTTTTTTTTTTTTCTTGAAAGTTTAAATTTTTAGAACTGCCACTTAGCTTAGACAGTATAGTAGAGGAGATAATCTCATTTCCAGCAGAATTCTCACTGGGAGTGGGCTCAGATGCTGCTCTCCTAGGGGAGGGGGAGATCTGCCTGATTATTGCTGTCCTTTGACCTAAGGATTTGCCATTTTTTTGTTGAGACACTAAAAATAATTGTCTCATTTTTTTGATGCTTGAGTTCCTTAAGTCAGTCAAAATTGTCTTAATACATTGTGACTTAAAGTTTACTGGTGTTCAAACATTGTGAAACTTGGGGTGTGTCACTCCTGCCTGGAGGGTTTCCATGCTGGAGTAGTCTGGGTAAGAATGTGATGCCTGAAGGTCACAGCAGGTCAGTCCGGGTGTAGGCTGTGTGCAAAGGAGAGCTCCTGACTTCCCTTCTGCCTCTTTGCTCCCTCCTGTGTTACAACTAGTGCTGGAGTGGCTCTCCAGAAGACCAGAGCTGGGAACTGACCAGTTGGAAACTAATTGTTTTGTTCATTTCTTCAGGCTTGAAATTTCAACTATGACTTTTTGGTCCAGCCTGTTTGCAGTTGCTGTTTCCTGCACAGGGATTGTAGCAGTAACAAACAGCTGGGGCAAGTGGACCTTCCCCTTTTGTAGCTTGCTGGATTCAGATTGTTTTAACACAGTTGGGAGACTCTAACTAAGGCATTTTGCATGAGGTGAAGTCAAACATGTGAGGAGCTGGAAAGCAAATAAGAAATATTTGGCATTTATCAGAACTGAGTATTTCTTGAGGCAGTGGGTATGTGACCTTCGTTCATATGGTAATTTTTGTTGCACAACAGATACTATTGTGTGTCATTATTGTGCCAGCTCTAGTATAATTGTGGTAATGCACTTACTACATAAAATCAAGTGAATCCTGAAAATACAGCACTGCTTACATTCAAAACTTCAATAGTTAAATTTTCCTTGGTTGTAATGTCGATCTTATAATAAAGCATAGTAAGGCAAATGTTTTGCCTTTTTTGTCACTGCTCAGTAACTCATTAGAACATAAAGTTTCGTAACTGTGAAAGATAGGGTATAAGTATGGGTGGGAATCTTACAAAGTACTCTTATTCTGTTTTATCATTAGTTTTGACTTTCTTGGAAGAATGCGCAATACCGTATGTTGAGCTGCTTGAGAAATCAGTTTCGATTATGCTGTTTATAGTGCATGTAAAATGGTATGGAGCAGAGATGGCAGCAGAAGCGGACAGCTGTTAATCGTACCAAGCATTGTACTCAGAGCTCTGAAGTCTTTGTGAGTTATTTTTATAAATGACATTTTGAATTTAGGCAAGAATTGTTCACTGTTCAGGCTGCATGTAATGTTTCAGTTCATTGCTTTCAGAATTTAGTTTTTAGGAATGCATGGGATACATGAGTACAAATCAAAGTGAGTTGTGAATCACCAGATCTTTGTGGCTTGACTTGAGCCTTCCCAGATTTTTTTCTCCAAGCATTTTTTGGAGGGTTCAGAAGCTGTGCAGCAGAGAGCTTGTGACCATCTGAAGTGACTCACTGGGTGAGCCACAGTGCAAGGTCTCTTTCAGATACTTTCTGAAAGTTAAACTATACTGCAGAGATGGTGACAATTTGCATAAGGAGCTAAATTCAGCTCTTAGAATAAAATTGCTGTTCAGTTATAACATGGGATTTACCAATAATGATTGTTTTGCCAAGTAGCTGAATATACAGAGAGTATGCTGTGCAGATAATGAATCTATGCACATTGAATATACAGAGTACGCTGTGCAGATAATGAATCTATGCATACTCTTTTGGGTTGTCAGGAGTGTTTCTTATGTTAGAAAAGCAACAAAAATTCCTTAAGGGGTATAACCCTCACAATAAATAATTACTTGCTGAAGTGAAGAGTGTACAGTGAAAAAGAATGTCTAGACCTGTACGTAAAATTTCCTCCAGTAACTTTATGTACTGAACTGAAAATGCAGAAGCATGGCACAGTATTCTTAACATCAGGTGATAATCTGTTGCCAGTATTAGTTGAAAACTTAAAGGGAGGCCACAAACATTTTGAAATGCCTGTTTCAAAGAAGGGCATGCCTAAATAATTTTATTTTAAAAGATAAGTTTAAGTGTTTAAGTATTAATAACACCAATCAGGCATCACGGAAGTATTTTACTAAGATTACTTTGCTCACAAAATCCTTTGTTATTTCAAACCTGGATTTGATTCTCCTGGAGCCAGCAGATGCAGTCTAGGACTATTTTACAGGTATGTTAATGCTGTCATAAGTGTTGTTCAAGGACATCTCAAAGCCTACTGGCTTTGTTAAAAAAAAAAAAGTTCCTGGCAAAGCAAGTTCTTAAATTAGAGTCTAATAGCATTTACAAATATTATTTACTTTTGATAAGAAGAGTACATATCTTTATAAGACATCAAGCAGAATCAAGTGCAAAACCAATTTCAATAGTTTCATTTTCATATTGAGTATGAGCTGTAGAAATTACCCCTTGTGAATTGTATATTTGGAACTGTTCATGTACTATTAGTAGGTCTGTAATTTGTTAAGCTAGTAAATGGAGAGATAACAACACACAGTGCATTATACTTTATAGAAGAAAAACACACAGTGAATATGTCCATGTGTAATGGTCTTTTGACACTGATGATAAAAAAATCTTTAGCAAACAGTTCATAATTTCGTTGTTTATTTATGGACTTCTAGATATTCCTCCTTCCAGAGCTACTACTGAAAAGAGACTTTTACTGATCTTATCTTCATGCCTTACCACGTCTTGTAGAGGAATTGCTGACAAGTGTAGCTGCTTGTGCATCTCAAGACTATTTGGTCAGAATCTGGAAAATGGAGCCTAAATAATTATTGCATGTCAAGGTCATTGTTGAATTAATAATTATGTAATTTGGTACCTGTTCTCTTATCTCTTTCTTTTCACTTATTTAAACTGAATTCTCAGAAAAATTTCCAAGTTCTGGTAGTGATTCCTGAGTAGGCAACACACAATATCCCTCTAAATTAAATTTTCATGTGCTTCCAGGTAATAACTAGCCCCCTTTCATTAATGTTTCTGGGGAAATTTTTTACTTTAATATTTTTCTTAATCTGAAGTTAGATTTATAAATGAATAACATTTCATCTTTATATTTTCTGGTTTTTTTTCTTTTTACTAGCAAATGTCTAGTGTTGGCTCATAACATAGTTAGAAAAATCTAGGAGAAAGCTATTAATGGCTTCTAACATTCAGATTAATTATGTTATCTGGCTGTATCTTTAAAATTTCTGGTTTGATAACACAAACACTGTTATGTCTTATTTGACCCTGGAGAGATTTTTCACTGGAGAAGCTTCAGATATCTTTCAAATTAATTACAAGTCCCAGGTAGAAACTGCAGTGCCATTGTTAAATTTTGAATGTCTTATTCCAATGACTAATAGTCTATTCTTGTTACTACCATGTTCTTTGTATTTTAAAGAAGAAGTATTAATATAAATTAGCTTCTCTTATAAAAAACCAAAGCTTTGAGATTTTTTATGGGTGCCTGAAGATGCAGTAGCTAAAACTGTGAAGTTACATTTTTCAGTCCTAAAATTGGTGACAATTCCCACTTGTTTCTGAAGACAAATTTGGTACGTTTGAATAGCTGTATGGAGTTGCAAAAAGGAACTGCACAACTTGTAGTTCGTAGTGTATAAATATTTATAATGTTCTGTAGACTTCCTGAAGTGAATCGCATTGGAATTTTTAAAGACATTTCACAGAAGGGCCGTTTTTTTCCACCTTACTTTGTTAAAGTTTCTGTGGTTGTTCATAGTTCCCATTAGATGTCATCCTTCCTCTATATTAGAGTCTGGTCATTGAATGTAAAATAAGCTAATTAGTAGGGACTTTTAATTTGTCAAGGATAATTTTTCTATCCCCAGAGGATAGGTGAAATGCTGCCTAGCAGGCTGTTAATTGCACTCAGTTCTTTTGTCAATACAGTATTTCAGTAAAACAAGATATCCTCATTACTGTGTGAGTTTAAAGATGGAAAGCATCTCTTCTAGTGCTTTCCAATGTATGAGCCATAAAGTGACTTAAACACTTAGGATAATATTAACTTTATTTTCAGCTTTTTGAAACTAGATTAAACAAAAACTCTTAAGTGATTAAAGAAGCTCTAGTTTTGAAGACATACTTGCTAAAGATGTCCAGCTTCAGCTGCTCAAGTCTGACCTTGATTTGAGACATCCTTGCATAGACTGCAGCTTAGGAGGAGCCGTGCTTTATCTGTGCGCCTTGTGTGCATCCTACCCTCCATAAGGGAAAGAAGCCATTGGGGTATTGGCAGGTGTTGGCAAGTGCCTGCCCTTGGTGAAATGGTGCTGGGCTCAATGGAAGTGTTTGATAAGAGAGATCTGGGTGCCAGCTATACAACTGTGCTGTGTGTGCATAATAAGCAGGAGATACACAAGTCAGACCTGAATTTGACAACTTGTGTGCCAGAAAAAAATGTGTGGGTAAATGGGCTGAAGCACAGCTCTTGCTTTGCAGGACTTGAGCTGTACTTCAAGATACCTGTTTGATCTACTGGTTTGTCTTAAAGCCTCTGACAAAAATGAGCATGTACTTAAAATGTTATAAAGTTAAATAAGATTGTATGCATATTTGGAACATCTTTAAAGATTGTATCATGTAATCAGTTGTTGCCATAGAGAGCGAGTATGCATGTTAAAAATGGGAGTTGTTTTCTTTCTCTTAGTGCACTTCAGTTGTCATAGCAGAGAACTCATGTGATCCATTCAGTTTATAGTCTTGTTTGCTTTCTTAGTGAAATTCTTTTTATAAACAGAAGTTGTTCAATTGGTCTCTTTATTAGGATTTTTTAAATAGCATTTTCAGCTTATTAAAGATGATCACCGAGTGCATCATCTGTGTTTAATTGTCTTTTTTTTCCTAAGTGAAATTTTTCACAGATGGAATACAACATTGCAAACAGTGGGTGAGCTCTTGAAGGCTGGAGAAATACTCTGGAGAAGTATCTGTGTGCATCTCCTTATAGATGCAGCTGGAGACAGGACAGTAGATTGGTGCCTGGTTTGATCCAGTACTACTGTCTCTGCTCTCCTTTTATGATGATTTTTTTTAACAAAGTGGTACTTCTTTGGATAAATTCCTGAACTCACAGGTTAAGGAAAGGATCAAAATTATGTTCAGTTTATTGTTCCTATAAAAATAAAGCCAGTACAGTTATTTTCTGCACTATAAAAATCAAATTTAAAAGCTTGGTATTTGAAGAGACCCAGATTTGTGTTATGTACAACCAAGTTCCTCTGAGAAGCACAGGGATGGGGTTTCCTGTGGAAATAAGGACACTTTTAGATGCTTAAACAAGGATTTACAGGCTTAGTTCAGGACATCTTTGTTGGCAAGACTGAGCCCTAACAGATTTCCCTCCTTTTCTTGTCCTGTTTTTATTAAATTTTAAAGTTTGTAATATATGCTTATTCCAGTAATACAGTCTACGAATTTAGAAGTGTAATAGCAGCTTTATAAGGGCTGTGGAAAAGAAATTCACGAAATTTGTCAATCAGTGATGCCAATCTCACTAGGCTTTCTCTGTAGGCAGTAGAGAGCCACCCTTTCTAGAGAACAAATCAAAGCAGGCACTCAATTTAGCCATTCTGAAATCCTCTTTACAATGGAAGGGTGTATGCATTTTTGCTGTGCTAGAGTTAAATGTTGTGATTGCTCTTTTCTATAAAGACTTTTGTCCTTATTCTGTATAAAATTGTAGTGAAACGTAACCTGTATAGGAATGGCAGATTCAAATATATTTAAATACTGAGGCAAGTAATTTAAGAGCTATCACAGAAAATACTATCTGTGTGTCTGGAAAACTCCTTTGAGAATATGAAAGTGACTTTATATTTTGCCAACTATGGTCTCTTCCACAATATAATTAAAAAGAATGGCATGTATGTAGTAGGAACTTAATTATATAAGCATGGAAGACAAATTCCAGAGACTTGTTACAATACCTGGGAAGTTACTGTCTACCTAATGCAGGAGTGTTGGAAAAAATGAATCATAAATGTCTATGTTTCCATCATGTCTTCACTGCCAGTTTAAGCAGATGCTGGACTTGACTCAAAGCATCTGAAGTGTTGTCATGTTTTCCATTTCCTGCATTGGGAGGGTGTTGGGAAGTGGAAGGCTGTACTGCAAGAGAAGGTCAAAGCAGAGAGTGGGAGATGATAGCATTTCTAACTGATTCAGGAAAAATCATGATATTTTATCACTGCTTTAAATCAGTTACTATTTCTGGGTAGAAGAGAGTTTCTCATGTTTTGTATTTCCAGATGGACCTTCAACTGATAAAGATTCTGAAGAAAAGAAGAAGGAGCCTGCATCTTCCTCACAGAACAGTCCTGATGCCAGAGAAGAAAGGTGCTTAATTCTCAATGGCTGTGCAGATAGTCTCACTCAGTATAAATTAACATTAAACTATTTGGTCTGAATTGGTAATGTTAGAGACAGCTGCCATGTTCTTTTCTGAAAGATAGAGTTGTACAAGAAAGAGTGTGTTGTTGGGGAAGTAAACTGTGCTACTGTAGACATGAAAAAAACCCCAACAAACATAGGTCAAGATATGGCCAGACAAGTTTTGTTTATCCATCTGTTGCGTCTGTCAAATACTCTGCCCTCTCTCGGTACTAGCACCCAGCTTTGAGAATTGTAAAACAACTTTCTCTGCTTTGTGCTAATTGCATATGCTTCTTTTGTGTGTTAGCTTTTAAATTTAATAAACATTTTGTACTTTTTTTGGTAAACACAGAGTATGTTACCAGAAAAAGAAGCCTGCATTAATGTCACTGCAGGAGCTAAAAAACATTTACAAAAGAGTATTTGCAAGCCCATTTCTTCTATACATTTCTGCCTTCAGTGATCTCTTTTCAGCAGCCATTTTAAATTTGAAGTTTAACCTCTAACTGTATGTCCAGATGGAAGATGAAAACTTGGTTTACAGTTTGCAAAACTACATAAATTGTGGGGGGTTTTTTGTGACCATGGCACCCCTTCAGTACAGTAAGCAGATTGAGTGCAAGGCATGCAGAGTGAATGTTGGTGTGATGTATCGTCACTGTTTGTTAAAGTAAAGGTCTGTGGGAGGAAAAAAGGTTTCATGTTAATGTAAAGAACTGAGAATTAAAGCTTCTGTGCCATATAATGGAATGAAATACCTGCTGTGTCTCTATTGTGTGAAATACCCTAGTGAATAGTCTAAAGACACTTTAAAAATTGTACTGACTCTAGAGCTATAAATAACTTTTTAAAAAGGTGGCTTGTGTTCTTGTTTTGGAATACCATTAAATGGATGTAGCAAAAGACCCGTATTTTGCCCAGAAACAAAGTTATTTGAAGGGGGGAAAAAGGAAAAAACATTAATATTGGTTTTCATTTTGCCTTTTTTTAGCAGTTCAAGTAGCAATTCCAGCAGCAGGAAGGAGGAGGGTAGTGCTCCCTCAAATTCTTTCATCCCTTCTTTTCCCCGGGCTCCAAGCACTTCAGACTCTGTACGAGTGAAATGTAGAGAAATGCTCTCTGCAGCTCTCAGAACAGGAGGTGAGCTTTGTAGACTACATTTTCAAGTTTAACTATTTCCTTCCTTTCTATTTCTGTCTTTCCCACTCTACTTTTTCTCCTACCCTGTAGGGAAGAATAAACCCTGTCTGCATTCATTTGTGTGTGTAGACCCATAAACCAGTTCACCCAAGGTGCAAGTAATGAGTAACTTTCATGGCATGGGGATGCTTCAAAATGCATTTTTGTTGCTGCTAATTCATGACATTTTGTGGCTCAGTTCATCTGATACATTGCCAAAGGGGATCTTGTTTTCAGGAATGTTATTGCCTCCTTAATGCTTCATTTGAATCTTCTTGTAGAGGCTGCTATTTTTTTTGTCTCAGTCTTTTTGACAGAGAGGTGTGACTACATGCAAGACTGCCTTGCACCAGAGGTCCTGGGAACCTTCAGGTTTTAGTTTTTTAAAGCTCTCTTTCTATTTTGATTTATTCTTGACATTTCATTAAGATAGCTTGCAATAATAGAGTCTTGCATTGCTCTTAACCTCATGCCTTTGGGAGATCTGTAAATTCCTTGATTGTTCTGGGATTTTTTCTTTTTATCTCTCATATACACTCGGGTGTCTTTAAACTGACAAATTAATTTATTTGCTAGATAAGGAGCAAACTGAAAGCTGGACTTTTCAGAATTACCTGATTTTTTCTGGTGCATCCTTATCTTTGTCAAAATTATGACCCAGCTCCTGTTTCTCTGTTCTTAGCTTAGTGTAACTTGGCCCAGTGTAAGTAGACTTCTGAATCATCTGTGCTTACTTTCTTCACTCTTTTATTCTTTCTTTTGATTCATAGAAATTCAGGTATAGAGAATAAGCAAGGCTGACTAAAGACCATAGATTAGTTATCATCTGGATATATAGTTCATGGACTTCTTTTGGGACTAGTCACATACAGCATCTTAGTATTCATAATTCTATGTAGTCTTCATTTTAAATAGTTTTCCAGAAATCTTTTTTGCTGTGTTGCTTTCTACAGTGCATGTAAACTGATGATCCATGAGGTTAAAAAATAAGGTTATTTTATTGTTTTATGACCTTTGGTATGAGGTCAAAGGTTAAATGATGTTAGGGTTACTCACTGAAATATAACCATGATGAAATGAGGCTAACATTATATGCAATTTGTTTTTAAGCTTTCTTGGAAAGGAAGATGTCTTTGTGGGGAAGCATTTTGGTCAGAAACAGTAAACAGTTATCTTGAGACATTTTAGTTCAAGTGTTTTACTGCCTTCAAGACTGCTGCGGTCTATTTCTTCTAAATTATGTCTTTTATGACGCATCTCTGCTTTGCATTTTAAAAAAATCTAATAATTGTTTGTTATTTAAAAATCTAAGATTGTTTGTTATTTAATTACCATGTTTCTAATGAAATCTTTCTCTTCCATGCTTGCAAAACATTTATTTGCTTATTCTTGTATTGTATGGACCAAAACAATTGATTAAACACAATATAAAATGTTTCCATTTTATAATAGTTTGTTCTATGCCCAGGCTGTGGAGATGGGAGAGATGCCAAGCCCATTGGAATATTTTAGATTTTTCTGTATAACAGTGGATTTGGTCCTATTTGTGCTTGCAACTAGGTACCAGAAGTTATTTGGTTTTTAAAAGTTTTTGACTCTTTTAAACTTCTTTTCTCCTTCTTTTGCTTACTTGTGTTCTTCCAAGTAATAAATTTTGAAAGGTTAAGTACATAATAAATTAAAATTACGTATACAACAAGAAGACTCACTGCAAGTGTTTTATAATTTGCTGAGTTTCAGTGTTCTGGAAATGTAGGGATCTCAAGGATATAGAGTCAGGTTGCTAATATTTTATCATTTGTTTTCCTCAGATGATTACATTGCTATTGGTGCTGATGAAGAAGAGCTGGGTTCTCAAATTGAAGAAGATATCCTTTGTTGTATATGTGTGCTCTAGAGTGGGAGTATTTTTGAAAAACACAGTAATTTTCAAATTAATTAACTTGATCTATATATTGAGTGTTTTTATATTTCATATAAAACAAAAGTGGTAACTGGGTTCAACACATCAGTACATAAATTTAGTGTTCAAAAAATCAGCCCAACCTAAATGATTTGCCTTAAAATATGTAGGAATGCATGTAGGTGAGTGTGTGTGGGTTCTTTTCAGCTCAATATGTTTTCCTTGTAGCAGCAATATTATATCTTACTGAAGCATTCTTACATAAAATGCTGGGCTCTTCTATGCTATTTTAAAATCTTTTCTTGTTAACAGTCTTAATCATTTTCTAGTGTCTTTGTTTAATTTTCTACAAGTTTATTTCTAAATGAATTCCCGGTTCTCAAAAGGTGATTCTGGTACCATTGTTTGAATCATTCCAGAACAGAGGTCTGGGCTTCTTTTTTTAACAAAAAAATTTGTGTGAGTGAGCTGTCATTGTTTGAATATTTCATTCAGAAATTAATTAATTCTCAGGATGAAATCAAGAAACTGGACATAAAGTTATGGGGGACTTTTCACAATTACAGTTGAGGTCCTGCTACCCAAAAATTCATATTTCACTGGCCCTGTACTAAACTATGATTGGGCTTCTGAAGGTTGTGAATTCTGCTGTGTTGAACAGGAAAGTAGCTGTTGGTTGGGGTGGGAGGAGGACTTTATGGACAGTGGAGAAGTGCATTGGTTTAGAGCTTGCCCCCCAGAATGAATCCTTTCTAATACTCTGTTTTACTTGTTAATGTTTTACTCTATTTGACTTATCCATGTTTTGTTCCTTAAATCCAAAGCACCTATTTTTCAAGAATTAAAAAATACTGATATGAAATACAAAAATAGGGTACGAAGTAGGATAGCGAATCTCAAGGATGCAAAGAACCCTAACCTAAGGAAAAATGTATTATGTGGAAACATTCCTCCTGACAAATTTGCTAAAATGACAGCAGAGGTAAGTAAAGCACAGGTCTTGAACTATTCCCCTCTTGGACTTACACCCTGGCCTGTATTTATTAAGCATAAAAGTAATTTGTGTAAGCTGGCGTACTTCTGAACGACTGTGGCTTGCAGAATCTGAATTACAGGGCTGTGTTGGGGGAGAGGGCATGAAAGTCTCTTTAAAAGTCAAAATAGATCTAAAAATTCAAATGAAAAATGAGATTTTATGGGAGAGAGAAATGAAAGCACATCTTGTTAAACATCTTTTTTCAGTTCTATAGTTCTGCTTCTATGTGTTAGATTCTGCCCCCTCAAATGAAAATATAAAGGAGTGTCTTGGAGACTGAGAGAAATTAGTTGTGGTCAACTAATGAAAATTGTGACTAACTTTATTCCAAAAGAAAGTTGTGCTGGGCTTTTTTGATGGTTGATTTTTTTAACTATAGCTTTACATAAAGGTTAGGCTCAACAGAGGCTGGTGAAAGAATGTGTAAGAAAAGCAAGTTGTACCTTCAGTATGATTTTGATTTTCTTTGTTCTACATATTTAGAACAAACTTATATTTTGTCCTGTCCAGTGCAGATTCTTTGTTTGATTAATGTTTTGGATTGAAATGTCAAATGGCTAAAACCCACTTAGTGTTAAGATTACTTCTTAACAATAGTGAAAGAGCACTGATACAAGATTTTCATTCCACATCTACATGGGATGGTGAATAAAATTGTATTGAAGAAAAATGTAACAAATTGGTTTTGCTGTGCACACTTGATTACTAGACTGTGTGGAGATCTTCTGCACTAAAACTATTTTAAAGGAAAAAGAAAATGGGCAATTCTGAACTCTTTGCTTAGTGTTTAGAAACGAAGTTAATATGATTTTTGGTGACATATGGTAAATTATGGCTCTATTGTATTTATCAGTACAAATATAGAAGTCAAAAAAATGTAAATTTTTTCCTGTAATAAATGTTTCATAGGTCATTGAGATAATCATCCAAGGGTCTAACCTAGGGAGAGCATCTTTTTTGCCTCTTTGGAGAACTTCTAAGTCTTCTACCTTGCCTCACTTACATTTCTGAACTTCAGAAGTGTATTTGCATAGAAATGTTTCTAGATGCTTGATGTTGTAACTTGTACTTTTTTTTTCCTATCTGTGTTAAAAAAGAGAACATTTTTAACTTCTTGTAGCTTCTGTGCTGTGAAATAGCCCAGCTTCAGTCTTGTAAAATTAAAAATGTGTAGAATCACATTGCCCTTCAACAGAGTTGTTGTTCATGGATTCTAAATAAAAAAATTGTATTGGCTTGCACAGTGGTAACTTGTTTTAAAGCTAAAACTCTCTAGTAAACTCTGTCTGCTCTTTGTCCTTTGTAGGAAATGGCAAGTGATGAGCTGAAAGAAATGCGCAAAAATCTGACCAAAGAAGCTATCAGAGAGCACCAGATGGCTAAAACAGGAGGTACCCAAACTGATCTGTTTACATGTGGCAAGTGCAAAAAGAAGAACTGTACATACACCCAGGTGCGTGGTTATTCCGACTCTTGGTTTTCCTTTTTCAAACCTTAAGTCCTATATAAAGATTGTCAGAGAAAAAAAATGGAATTGCAAAATGAACTTCCAGCCAAATGTTGACAGCTTACAAAACGTGAAGGTAGCTGGATCTACTTAGTTGTGCTTATGTAAAGCAAGTTTGTTGTATTTATTTGCCAAAAACTTTATGTAGATCCAAGCTGAGTATCTGTATAGACTGAAACTTCAGTTTCTTTGCAATGCTGAATTGTTGATAATTCTTAATGCATCATATTCATGAAGGTTTTATGTGGAGGAGAGATACTGTTTTTAATGTGTTGTGTGTAAGCTTATTTTTACAGAGGGACTAAGTAGCAGAAAATTATATGTATGTATATGCACATGTATATTTATATATATATTTAATGTACCATTTGACTAACACGAGACCCTGATTTGCATTCATTTCTACAACCACAGAAAGGGTGCTTTAATTGGCTTAACTGTGCTTCAGGGAATGTCATTTTCATCATAGGATCAGCTGCATTTGTATTTTGTACTGTTCATCAGATGCTTTAAATAGCAAGTTGGTTTTCAGTCATAAGACTTTTAAGCCTTTGCATTGGTAAATGTATGTGAAGTGTACTGGCCACTGTACTTTTAGTGCAGAATCTTCTCCTAGAAATACATGCACAGTTTCAGTGCAGAAATTGGTATTTTAGTGCTACTGAATCTCTCAAAATCCAAGTTTATCATGGCTTTATAGCAAGGCAAAAAGCCCAGTTGCAGTTGATACATAAAGTTAACTTGTATTTTTATACCAATTTGTTTCCTTAATGTTAAACTTTGATTTAAACAGTTACATTGAACACACACTAACAAAAATTGAAGATACTAATTTTCCTTTTCCGCTCTGGCTCTTGCCTTTGCCAAAGGTTCAAACCCGCAGTGCTGATGAACCCATGACAACGTTTGTTGTCTGTAATGAATGTGGAAACAGATGGAAGGTAAGACTGTTAGACTGCTCTGCATATTTGATAGCAAGCAGCCAGCCTCTGTGCTTAATTTGGGTTTACAGTAAATGTGACAAACCACTTTCTGTTGACTTTTGGTTACTTCTTAACCCATTAATGATATTACATCTTGAAATTGCAAAATAGCTTTAAATTAGAAATGTATTTTTGACTAAAGATATGAGATCTCTCTAGAAGGTTGGTGGCAAAGGGGGAGAGAAGACAGGACTTAGTCCTTGCAACATTTAGTTACAATACTGCTTTGCCATGGGAAGTGGTGACAAGCTAGTCACCATTTTCTCTTTCTTCACCCAAAGTTCTTTTAACTGGTTTTAAACTGTGCTTTGGTGAGTGTAACAGGCCTTTTTTAGACCTTTTGTTGTTATTGTTTTTTCTGGTTTTTTGCTATTCTGAAAAGAAGAAGCAATAGAAAAGAGAGATGGCTGCTGCTGTATTCCTGTACCAGGATAAGTGTAAGGCAGTGATAACTTAATGGAATCTTTTTTTTTAAGTTTGGGAAACAGGACTTTATAAAGCTTCTGAGAAACAATGGTAGTTCAATAAAACAGAGAAAGACTGAAATGAAGGCTTGTAAAATTTACAGTTTAAGGTGTGATCACATGCCATAGGAAGCATGATAACCTCATTCTGTTATTTTTCTATGTTAAGAATACTGCAGCTCTGCAGGGCCATGCCACGGTGTACGTTAAGATTTCCACATAAAAAAACATTTTATGTATCTTGGTTTACATAGCTTATTGCTGAATATTGTTCATATATAGGCTCTGAGATATCTAAATAATATGTATAAAGCTTAGAAATCGTTTGATGGAATTGTTTGCAGTAACTGGAAAAGTATATTTGTCCTTAAAACCTTATGTAAGGTTGTAGTTACAGAAGTGTCTGTATACAGATGCCTGAAGGAATGGTTAAAATATAAGTGCTTTAATTAGTAATTTCCATATCCTAAGTATGGTGTTGTATTTCTGTTTATTCTTGTAGAGGTTTAGAACTAAGATGTATAAAGATCTCATGAAGCATTATTTTCTTTTGACAGTTCTGTTAGAAGAAGAAATTGTCAAGACATCTGGACCAGTATGAACAAGGATTTTGTAATTAGCTTTAAAAACTAGACTAAGCATTTAGCTTCCTGCAAATGAGAGGGTTTTTTGGTTTTTCTTTTCTTTTTATTTCAAAGCAGCATACATGCCTCAAGTTAGCCTTTGTTTTGACACAACCATCATTTCCTTAAATGCCTTCCTATAGCTGATAGTCAGTAGGGTCAGGTTCCTCAATTGTATGGTGAATTTTAAAATATTTTTTCATTTTTATAAGTAAGTTGACATTAAACTTTTACCAGTTAAACATTTTGGTAATTGTCTTGTTTTTTTCTAACTATGTGAATAATGTACTGTATTTTTTGTGGTCTGAAATATACACGCTCCTCCTGTGTGTATTTTGCCTCTCCACATGTGCTCGGTTGTAAGAATGAAATTTGTTTCTCTCTTCTCTGTTCACTTTGCTTTGCAAGCAGAAAAGGTATATAAGTTCCTCATAACGTTAAGCTCAGTTGTTAACTAATACACAATTTAATTAACTCTTTACTTTGTGTGCTCTTTCTGGACTAGGACTAAATTTGCAGTCATGGGGTTTGAATATTTGTTATGGATATGATGACCTCTTTTGCAGTGGTTGGTTAAGCTTGTTTATGTAACCAGCTTTGATCAATGCAATATATTTTATTGCCCAAAGCATGTATTTTACCTTCTATCAGCAGGCATTATTCCTAAGAATGTCCTAAAATAGTGGTTAGATCTGATTTGAGTGTTCAGTCTTGCTTAATGTGCTTGACAACCAACTTGGGCTTAGACTTTGTATATAAGCAAAGGCATTGTGTTGTAGGCTATCCTAATAACACCAGCTAAGCAATTCATTACATTAAACTGGCTGGGGAGATAATACTATACTCCCTTCATTTAAATGGCATTGATTTTGTTCATGAAATGATTTTTTGAAATGTAGGGTATCTGGTGTCCATCATAGACCTGCAAGCGGGAATAAATTATTAAAATTATGATCTTTTCCATATGAGAAATTATATAAATGCTGCATTTTTAGAATTTGCTTTTTAGCAGTGCATGTTTAGAATTATTTGCAAATGTGTTTTCAAGAAAAATCATGTCAACATCTTTAGAAGAGATTAAATTCATTAAATCTAATTTTATATTACTTAATTTGTTAGAGTTTGGGGCTGAGGAGGTCTATTTTGGCACTGTATAAATTATTCATGAGGGAATGGGAAGAGTATGCACAGCTCCTGGAAAATAAATTCCTTGAATGTAAAGGAAAACCAAGTTTTTCTATGTTGAATGTTTTTTGTGTGATAGTGGCAACTGTAACAAATGAGTTGGAAATAGTATGATGACACTTGAACTTTGGGAGACAAGAACTGTTTGGTTAATACTTGATACAGCAAGCTTTTCCAGTCAGCTTATGCAAGGAAGTGTGGCTTTTCTGCTGAAGGGTAAAAATTATTAAAATAGAAGAAGTTTTGTTACAGACTATTTTTTAAGCAGAAAATTGCTTAGCATTTAAAGTTTCTTGAATAGATTTTTATATATAAACATTTTAACTCGACTTATGCTAGTGCTTTTTAGAAAATATTTTTTTCTGCTAGCAGCATAGGTTAATTTTTAACCTCTCTGGAGGTCCATTGACAGGATTGTTTCCTAAGAGTTACTAAAAGATGTAATTTTTTTTTCCAAGTTGTTGAGGACAACAAACAAATTAAAGTTTTTTACTATCAATTAGACTGCTTTGTTTGGGGACCTTTCTAAAAGAACAAGTCCAAAAACTTGTGTTAAAAACGACAGCAAATTGGATGCCAAGTAGACCTAAATTTCCACAGCTGTTCACAGCATACATATGCAGGGCAGGCAGTGGATGGTTTGCATAAGCTTCTTCGCACAGTGTGTCCTTTAATCTTAGTGTCTGATTGTGACACTTAAAGAAATATCTTTTGAGAAATTGTAGTAATTGTTTTTCTCTAGTCACCAGATTATATCTGGACTATATTAAAAGAACCAGAACTGTGGTAGCACTTTCTGTGATGCAGGTGTATCCAAGTGGGAGTTGAAATAAAATGTGATTTCACCTGATGATACCTGAGCAGCAGCCCTCATCCTTCTCTCTTCTGCCCCCATGGTAAAAAGAACTGTTTCTTTTGCCCAGTGAAGGATGGAGTGCAACAGCTAGATTCAAAAATGCATCTAATGCATCTGTTCTATTCATGCTTTATTTTGGTTACCCAAATCCAAAAATAAAACTTTCCAGTACAGATCTTTGGATGGACCTCTGTTCAACAGTTGCTGCAGTGTTCGCAGCTGTCTGAAATTGCCCTCCTGTATCAAAGAGGATGCAAAGGTGGGGCTGGGACTGTCTCATTTCTCCATGGCTGGCTTTGTCTACTGGGCTGCAGTTGTGCCATGACTGACCCAGTACTCTGGGGTATTTCATGCACTGAAACATGCCAGCAGAACTGGTGATCAATCTCTCCATCTAAGAATAGCAGGTTTGGTTATTACCTTTATGGACACCTGAATCCTCTCAGATGGAGCAGAGTTGGCCTACAATTTAAGGTAGCTTGTACACAATTCTAATAGAGAGAAAGAGGAGGCCACATTCCTTCTGCTGTGTGTGTGTGTGTTTATGTGTGTCTTATTTAAGGATCTACTCTTCTGTAAGCAAGGCTAGAGGATCCTGCTGCTCAGAAAACACAGCTTCTGGATCCTTCATTAGAAGACATTTTCTCATATATAATACATTTGCTCATATATTCTGTTATCCTGTTCAGGAGAAAGTATGAGTTTTAAACTGTCTTGTACTGAATGGTTCTTTTTGACTATCACTGAGCAGAAGGGAAACATCTTCCCAGTGATCCTGGCTTTTGTGAACCCGAGGAAGGGCATGGTTTTTATCTGGAGTTCAGGATTCAACTTGTGATCACATACATTAATTTTAAATTGAAACTCAAACCCTTTCCAGCCTGGACAGGACTTAATTCATCAACATGAAGTCTTCATTCTGTAAAATGTGGTTGTATTACCTTTCAAATACATGCCTCTGGAAATAGATCTTGAAATATTAGTTATTCATATAAACAAACCTGAGGAGTTTTACTTCTTTTAAGCACAGTTTTTTACAGCTGTATGATAGCTTCTGTTTCACTAGATCATCACTACTCTTGAATTCTATTCCCATTTCAAAGAGTTTGGGATTAATTTAGTTACAACCTTAGTATAAAAAACTTTTTCACAATGTCATTGAAACAATGCTTGTATCTTTTATAGCAGAAGACACATGTTCTTAAAAATTGCTTACAGCAGAGTTGTTTAAAAATTACTTAACATTATGATATGATGGCCTTTCTCATCACTTAATCTTTTTTCTGATATCCTTTGTAATCCAAAACTGCTTAAGTACATGATGCTTGTGGGATGGATTTTAATCTAACTTTATATGGTAGAGCCCTTCAGAATATTTTTTTCCTCCATTTGTGCTGTGCTAATGACTTTGGAATTTAAAGGTCACTGTAAAGCACAGTATGTTGGCTGAAGGAGCCCATGCAATTTTAATAGTGCTTAGCAGGCTGGTGAAAAGAGCAGTCTTTAACAGTGTGCATGTTCTGTGGGAGTTACTGCTTTATGATGTGCAGACATTGAAGGAAGAATGCCAGTGGACTGGAAAGTTGTTACAGCTTAATGATATCCTGCAGTTCAATAAATGCCAAGGCAAACCAACCGTGCTCATTTTCAACCTAGGATAAATTGATTTTGTGATAATTTCTAACATGATTAAATAATGTCAATATGATTATTTTCTTTTGCTACTCATGTAGCTACTTGTCTATGGAAACTTTTCCTTTTCAGTGCACTTCTCTTTTGCCCTGAGAAGTTTACGCACCATGAGCAGGTATATAGCAATGAAATGTAATTAAAAATTGGTTGTCTGTGTGGGTGGGTTTTTGTTTTCATCTTCCCCCTCCCCCCCTCCTTGCCTCCATGCCTTTAATTAATCCAGCATTAACCAGCCTCAAAATAACAAGATATTTAAGGGAGTGGGTTGTTTGAGTTTTTAGGAGATATTTTCAGCATGCCTAGGGATCAGCATTCTGCTCCTGGTGGTGGGTATAAGCCTAGGCCTAAAGCACAGCATTAAAATTTGGTAAGATATTTCAGGAAAGAATGTACATTGCAAATGTCAACATATTGTTATGCAGAAGTAAAATGGAAATTACCTAGAGAATGTTCATTGCTTAGAAGTTGTGGCACATGGAAAATAAGCTTAGAAATTATTACTTTATTTTTTAATAATTTAGTGTTAGCCATAAAACTGCCCAAACCAATATAGTTTTCTCTGCCCTTTAACTTCATTACATCTTTTTTTCTTTATTTCCTTGCAGAATAATAGAATATATAGTTTGATATGGACTATGAGCATTCAGTCTGTCTTCCAGCTTTTAATGAAGTATCTTTGCATGGAAGAGAGATAACTTAAAAGAAATTAAATCCTCCATTTTGTGAGGTGACATGCTTTGAAGGTTTTTTTTTTATGTGTGCATATGATCTTTCCAACAAGCTGAATTTGACCTAGGTGAACTTTATTTGTCAACTTAGAGGTTTAGAGCACTCCTGCCCACTCTGATTAAAACAAATACAGTATCATCTGTTTGACTGCAAGCTCCCCATGAGTGCTGCCTTTTGAAGATATCTGGTTTGTTTTGTTGAAGTTACTACTTACATTGTAATATTTTACATAAACTGAAATGGTATTGGTAGTGCTCCGGGTGTGTTAAATAGAAATTCAGCTGAGGTAAGCAGCATTGATAGGGTCAGCATTGGTGAACATTAACTGAACTGTGTCTTTAGTGGTGCATGGAAGGGTTTCCTCTTAACTTACTCATCCAGCACTGTGCTACAGCAGGCAAAAGCACTTTCCTTTGCTCTATTTTTCTTTGTTTACTTTTTTTGTGCTGACATGTTTAATACTGTTTTGTTGTTGGAAGGAGATAATGAAAACTGGTTATAGAATCATAAATGATGTGGGTTGGAAGGTACCTTAATCTTGTGCCATCCCCACTGGCAGGAACACTTTCCACTAGACCAGTTTGCCCATCTAGCCTGGCTTGAACCAGCCCATAGCATTGATAAATTACCATGTACCAGCTCTTCTCCTGTGGTGCTAGGTACTGAAAAAATCAAATCATTATGTGCTGCAAAACGCAGTAAGGGCACAACATATCACCTGCCAAGTGCATTAAGGAAACAATTAAATTGATCTCTTAAATTCTGTTTTGTTCCTCCCATTTCATTTTTTTTAGAGAAAGTTCCCATTTTGTATTTTCCATAGCGCTGGAACTAGGCAAAGAGTAGGTTTTAGAAAGGCTACAGTACACATCACTGAACTCTGTCTGTCTGGCACCCCTTTCTGGGGGTATTTTTTTGTGTCTTTCTCTTTCCCATATGTCTTTTTCCAACCTGTACGTGTCATTTGGCTCATTTAAATAAATACACAGGGAAAAATACAATTCAGTGGAAACCCACTATAAACTCCAGAGTTTAATGTAGTGGAATTGTAGTGAATCATGTGGTTTAAAAGAAAGAAGACATTAGAGTAACAGATGTACAGATGGTTTATGTGAATTCAACTTACTTTCTTCCTAGTATTTCCTGTGATTACTGATTTTGAGATATGACCAGGAATTAAGTGTAATGCTTTGGGCATACTGTAAATGAACATGGTTTGTAACTGGATAGAGCTGGTGCTGTATCAGAACACAGATTCCATCTTCCTGCTTTTATTAAATAAATTGTGTGTATATCTGTAATGGAAACCTTACAAGATCTGTCAGGGAATGGGAGAATTTCATATTTACAAACCCAAGCTGGTTGAAACTGTCATCATCTTGCTAACAAATAGTGAAGGGTTTTACAAACACCTACTGAGGGAAGAGAAAAATATGTGAGAATTCTTGTGCTTTATATGAATGCCCAGACTTGTCTTCCTCTGAAATAAATAATTTAACTTTATGAACATCAACAAAGGGAACTTAATGCTTTCAGCAGATTCTAGTACTAAAATAACAATTCTTCAGCAAAAGTGGTTTTTTTTATAAGCAGCATTATTTCAACCAGTAACTTTCATAAACTTGAGATTGCCATGCCAATTTCCATTAGTGCACCATGTATGCATTAAAGATACCAAAACAAGTGGAGTGTACCTATGCCAGGTGTGATGGCAGTGCCTAGAGTAACACAGTATTGACAGTAATATTTTTACTTTGGTCACAGTGTGG